GGGGGGGGGGGGGGGGGAGGTAACTGGGAGGAAAGGTAAAGTATGAGAAGTGGGATCAAGGACATCATCAGGGATTTGATAAGGATTTTAAGCGCTATGTTATTACTGGTTGTATATTAATAGCTACGCTATTCACACCTCCTTTTTAGTGTACTCTGTGCAAGGTGAAACTAAAAAGCAACCTCTTAGTGGAATCTCACCAGCATTGTACATAATCTACGTAACGAAAAGAACACACAAAAAACGCTGGTTAGAAGTTTGCAGACCTGAAGTAAATCTTAAGCAAATGTGCTTCATAATTGTATATGGGATTCAGCCTTGTGTGAGCCTTGTGTAGAATTTTGAGTGTTGATTTTTATTCCATTCTTTGTAGTGATGTTCTTTTATTTCCTGTTAGTCAGGCTTTCTACAAAAAATTGACAGAACATTTCTCAATATACTGTATAACATTTTCCTCTTCAAACCTGATTTTTTTTCTTGAAGTACACTAACGCTTCATCGTACAAAATAAACCATCTTGTTTTCCAGTTGTGACGGACATGACCCTGTAGAGAAACAACACATTTTTAATAAATTAATTGAGCGGAAATGCGCACACAAAAATGGCATTGAAAGGAACAAAAACAACAAACAGTAAGATCTATTATAAGTGTGTGATACAAGCTTCCCGCTGAGAGTCACCCGGTTAGTTCAAAAGGTAATGCAATATAATTTATATAAAATAATCTCGACTTTAACCTCAACATAAGTACAGTTTTTCCAACGTCTCTTAAGTTCCTTCCGGTGAACTAATTTCAGCGCTTTTTCATCGATCGAAATCCATGATGGCTCTGTCGCTCTATTCTCAACAATGTTGCACCATTTGTATGCCTTTAAAACTGACTGGCAATTTGCCTACCTTCTTTACCAGAAAACCCTCTTTTAACTTCCTTGCTTTCTTGGAGTCCATGTTACCTTACCGTGTACCTCCAAATCATTGTCACAATATCGAGAGGATAATTCCCAGAACAAGCGACGTTACTTGGTGCAAACGATTTTTTACTAGCACAGTTAGAATGCGTGACAGTCACAAACAGGTCTAGTTTCACTCTCGACTCTCAAGACGTTTCAGCAACCAAATGCTTCAGCAAATACTAAGTTAATTAACCAGGAAGCATTAAAAACCGAAAAAACCGAGATAGTTCTTCCATGTAAGTGAATTTTAAGTAAAAGTTTGACCATAAAACATAACCTGGTTACAGCGTAGAGCCCGTAATGTACTCTGGGAATGACTGGCCTGTGTAACCAAGCTTTCAAAAATGGCGGATGAAGTTTACAAAAACTGACTTGCTCTTCCAACAACTTCTAGGACTTTTCTGCGATGACTAACGACACATCTACACCTCCTGTTAAGAGAACTGTAATTGTTCTAGACCACAGTTCGAAATTTTTGTCGCTTTCTAAGCAGCATATTGATTTTGATGGCGGTGGAAAAAAAGGGAAAGGAAAAGGTTCCAGCACATCTTCTCCTGTGTTCAAAAGTTCCTGGACATGCAGTATAGAGGCAGCGGTCGAATACTGTAGAATTGTTTATGATATATTTCCAAACGAATATCTGGTAAGTGAAAGGAAATTTCTTTTGTGGTGTTTTAGGACAGGCTGGTTTCTAATACCCAGGATTATAGCCAAATTATTTACATAGCTGATTTGGCAGCCAGGAAACGTAAAACGATTGGTTGATGTGACAAAGAGTTCTTTTGTTTAACTTTTGGCAAAGCAATGTTTATATATAAACAGACATCTTCCCTTTAAAGGAGGCTACTGTAATTAGCTGTTTTAAAACAGGGAAGAGATTTGTATTTGTTTTCAAACATCCTTTATGTTACTTAAATGTACAACTGGTCAAACTAAATAATTCTTTTCTTCGCCAGCCAGCTGTTCTGTGGCTGGCATATCACTAACAGTAGGTGACATCACTAGTATCTGCAATCTGTAATCTGAGATCCTGTTGTAACCTCCTGTCTGGATTTCAAACCTTTCCATGTTGCAATTTTGGGTTGACAGTGTTCATGTTGTGAATTCACTGGTAAAGGGTATTTTTGTGACTCGTGATTGGCCCTTTTTTTTCCCCGTGAAATGTGAAATGGCTAATTTTTTCCTAGTGAATTGTGATTTCTATAGTCGCTGTGAACCGTGATTTTCCAAAACGTTCTCTTTTATTTTCCGTGAAGCGTGAATTGTAAAAGGGCTGCTTTATTTTCCGTGAAACGTGATCTATACCCCCCTTTACCACCCTCTTTTCTGAACCAGCCAGCTGTTCTGTGGTTGGTTTATCATTATTAAATTTAAGTCCTTGAACTGTTGATGCTAGAGAATGCTAATAAAAATATTTATATAGTAAATTATATCAGCAAACCATATTGACCTCTACCACGATCAAGATTGATTGATCACCTTATCATGAGGAAAGTGGTGTGACATTAAAACATATTGGTCATACATGCATGTCTTTTTCTCTTCTCACCTCAGCCAAAGTTAAAATTTGGTACATCACTATGGGTATCCACTTATTAAGGGTTTATGAGGTGAATCCACATGATTTTCATCCCACCCACCCCCTGTTTATAAAGTGTTTATATAGTACTATAGGAATGAAAGATTGTGTTCTTCCAGAAAAAAAAATCCATCTTCCCCACCCCTCACCCCTCTCTTCTGCTCCTATCCCTCTGAACTTTAGCTTTGGAAACCCCTGCCTATTAACTAAAGGAATTTCTGATCCCCTTCCATTAGTGGAGATGGATATTTCTTTGAACCAGGCAAAAAAGAATTCTTTTACACTGTCTGGATTTTCTTAATGAATGGTTATGAATTTCCTGATTGACAAATTTGTTAATTCCTTCAGGTCAAGGTGGTTGTTTCAGATGATAGTGCTCATGTTGTGAATTCTTGGTCCCATGAACAGCAGTGTGTTCCACAGGTTTTCTTTTTGTTTTTTTAGTTTGATGTTATGGTTTTCTAGCAATCATTGATATTTTTATGGCTAAGATACACTCTCTGTAGCTTGTTGATGAATGCCCATAAGGTGTATTCATTAACAAGATGCCTCATATTCTGAAGATAAAGATAGTGACAATTGTTTATTGCAATTTACTGTAACTGAGCAGCAAACTGATTTATACCAAAGCAAGATTCATCAATTCAAAATGGAAAGCATGACGGTATTGTAGAAACCATGACTTTCTCAGTTGTCATTTTGTGGCGAACCATAAAAATACATCTTGAGGCAAACTTGTTCAAGTTTTTCTGTCTCCTTGAATATCAGTGAGACTTATTTTTACTGCAGTACCATTTGTTTCACTGTGTTTTGATTTGAATTTTGAGTCTCATGGTTTTACTGTTGACATCTTATGATTTTAGTAAACACATGCTTTTGTTTGAGCTCCGCTCGAGACAAGTTTTGTTTTTCCATGAACAATGCATGCAAGAGAAATAAAGGGTATGAATATCAAAGGGTAACATGTTAAAAAACACATGTACCTAACACGTTACGAAAATGCTCAAGCACATTTCCTTCATGTTAAGATTGTGGTAAAAACACCCGAACAATGTTCACCTATCTCTGAGCA